TTATTTTGTCTTTTTGACATTAAAGTATTATATTTATTTTCTAATTTTGAACATCTTAATTTTTCATTTTTAACCGCTTTCGAATAGGTTCTTCTCATATTAAAATTGTTCAACACACTACTAACATACAATTCGTTGAGTTTCTCATTTTCATTTTTAGCTAAATTATATTCTTCATTCATTTTTTCATATATTTCTTTCAATTCATTTTGTGTAGTTCTACCTAATATTGTTAAATCGTTCATTTTATTTATTTTTTCATGTTGATTTATTTTCATATCTTCGATTTTTGTCTCAAATTCAGTTGTCATAGATTTTAGTTGATCTTTTAAATATAAAATTTCTGCTTCTAAATCATTTACATTTGGTTCATTTATTTTAGATTTTGTTGTCGATGTTGTCAAAATAGTAGAAGAATTTAAATTTGTATCGGATACAACAACAGAAAATCGACATCGACGATTGATCACTGTTGTTTCTTTTTTCTCACACATATCCTTTCGAACTTGAATTTCTATTCCATGTAATATATGAGGTTTATCAATGATAATTTTATCAACTATATCATAATCATTAAACGTTAATAAATATTCTTTCTCATTTTTGTATTCTAAATTTAATATTTGACCATAATATTCAAAATATTTTTTTAAAATATCTTCATTTTCATAACTGTATACAAGTAATTTTGTCGATGATTTATTACGTTCATGTCGGTATTGATTATCATATAAAATTTGACGTTTAACAAATAATTCTCTTCCATGAAGAAAATGTGCTCGATTTTTCATTACATCATCAACAGATGATTTGAAACGAAATGTAATAAATGCAAAACCAGCCGGTTCTCCTCGTTTATTTAATCTAACTTTGCTTTGAAGAATTTCACCATATTTGGAGAAGTAAAATTTTAAATCATCATTATTTGTTTCATAATTTAAATTTCCAATGAATAATTCACAATAATTTCTATCGTCTTTGTCCATTATAATATTTTTAAAAATAAATGATTAACAACACAAAACAGTATTTCCATTCTAATATTAATATACACAAAATACTTTAGATTTTGACTAAAAAATGTCTAAATTTAGAAATAGACAAGCACTTTATAACAATTAATAAGTGTCACAAAATAAAAATTTTAGTGAGCTTCTAACAAAAGAAAATTTTTAACAGTTAAACAAGACTTTGAGGTTTAACAGTTACTAATTGAAATTTCCTATTGCAAATTCTCTATCCATGAGAGTCCTGCGGGACAAACTTTTCTGTTGCCCCGAGCCCGTAAGTTCGAATCCGAACATAAAAATTTTTGTCCCGTCCCGTAAGCTCGAGCCCGTGAGCAAATAATGTCGTCCCGAACTCGTCTGTCCTGTGAAAACATTTATGGGCTTTTTTGCCCCGTCCTGTTTGTCCCGTAATTTTTTGAAAAAATTTTTCTACTGTGATAAACCGTAACTATTACAAGAGATGCTTAAAGTCTAAGTTAATTTTTATTAGTTATTGTAAAATTACGGTTTTGACTTGATAGTATTGGTTGGCACAGAATAAATGGATCCTCCTTGTATTTTGCATATAATTTCTTTTCTTTTCAATCCTTAGATCTGATCGTTTTTCCAAAAGATGCGCCGTCGAATTCTCTACTAGAGAAGAAGAGAATACACGCATTTCGAAACCATTGAAAAGCTCTATCAACCAGTATTGGATGCACAATACAAAATCAATCTTGCAGCAAAATAGCACCTTTTTAGCTCGAACTTTTTTATTTTGACGAGAAACGATACCTGTGCCAGATTCAACTGCGAAAGTTACCTTAAAGCTTTCTTCATAAATTCACCTGCCGAGCAATAGCAGATTTTGGTCATCTTGAGGTAAATTTTGGAATGTCAGATTTTTCAGTGCTCACTTAGATTTGAACGAACTGTGAACTGCATAAGAAGAAAGAGCACACTTTAAAGTACTTAAAAATATCTTCAGTTTTGTTTCATTGTCTTTAGCCTGTTTAAAATATTCCAAAATTTGTAAAACAATATAGCTTAGAAAGTTGGTCCTTTCGTCATGTTGAATATTTTTCGTTTCATCTTTCTCCTTAACTTTTTATAGAAATAAGTCTGATCAAGTTTTGTAGAGAATTTGACGACACGTCTTTTGAAAACGACCAGGTCTATTGATTGAAAAGAAAAAACATTATAAGAAAAGTATGAGGAGGTCCATTTATTCTGGATCACCCGATATTACAAGAATTAAATATTTGAAGTTACAGTATAATTACAATCAAAAGACAAAACTTACGAGACAACATTTTTCTGCAACTTGTCCCGACCCCGTAAGCCCGAGCCCGTGGAATTTTTTTCTTGCCCCAAGCCCGTAATTTGTTTTTTGTCCCGACCCCGTGTGTCCCACGGGACGGGACAGACGGGATGGGATTCGGGGTTGCCCACAGGAGTCTAGCTTACTGAAATACACTTAGGACGAAACTTAACTTTGAATTAAGTGTCTCCTAACTTTTTCTTAGTTTTCACTTAAGTCGTCGACTTAACTCAAACTTAATTTTTTTCCCTTGACTTTAGTCAAAGTTCTTACAAACTAGTTGTCTGTGCACAAAACATGGAAAAATGGCCGTGCGTTATTTCATGGACAAGCCAATCATAACGAAGACGAGTAACAGAAGTAGAGAAATTCAGGAGTCTACTGTCCATTCACGTAAGTTAGAAAACAGAGACGATTATCTCATTTTGAAAAGAATACATCGTTAATTATAAGTACAATATTAGGCAAAAAGATGTAGGTCTCCTATAGAAAACTCTAAAATCAATTCCTATAACTCAATATTTGATGTTTAGTGTATGTTGAATCAACTGTTGTTTGACTCTAGAGTTCAGAAAATTTCTACCATTCTGATCCCTCACTTAATGTATCTGTCTAACTGATAAATAAACATACATTTACAGAGTTAAGAGTATTAGATCATTTGGAAATTCAACATTTTTTCGAAAAATAAGATTTCATAAGTCGTCTAAGAAATGTCTAAAAAGTCAAAGATTAGTGTACAACATGTAACCATCTCAGAATAATATCGATAACATCGGAACATGATTTTTGTACAAAAAACTTCTAAACATATTGTCTAACTAAAGACTAAAATCCTATTCCATCTTTCGCTATTTCTTACATTTTCAATGGAAATTCTCTATATCCATTGCTTTACAGAAATACTTCTCATGGTCATATTCAATAGAAAAGATACTCAGTTTTACGAATATGATATTAGTTTTATATTTTAAAGCATATAAAATAGCGATGCGGATTCTATCAAGAGCCCTAATAGAGCTTGCGATTGCTTAATAAACAAATTGAAGTATACTGATTCATAGAAAATGCTAAATTACACCAAATCGACAATTTTGACAGACAGTAAATCAGTTTTTCAATTCGTATAGAGATTGTATTGCGAAACACTGTACTTTCGCACTCTTTCGACAGCAAACTGAAGAAAAACAGCCACATTCTACTGAAAACCAAACTTATAAAATACACACTAATTCTTTCTCGCCGACAGTTCTGCGTATGCAAATTTATTGTCTTTGAACATTATTTAGTACTTCTCTAATATAAACTACATTAAAAACAAAATAATTAACAATATGTCCTGTTAAAAAAAGACATCTGAATCACATGATAACATTCTCAACAAGCATCAAAGATTACATCTCCTTTTCAGAGAGATATTAACAAAAATAACAACAAAAGAAGATCAGAGTACCGGTATCACAGAACTGATAACTGAAAAAACGCTGTAAAATAACGATCGTTGCATTTACATACAGTTCCTAGTCCAATAAACAGAGATAGATAGAGTAAAAAACGAACAAACCAATAGACGGATGGATGATAGAAAAAGAAGTCAACAGTAATAAATTTAGATTTTACAACAATTGACACTGAGCAAAAAATCAAATATCATGTCTTTTTTTCAGCAGTCATTAATAAACAATACGTATTTGAAAAAGTGTTTCCAACTCATAATCTAGATAGATCGATTCATATACGTCTTCTCTTCTATCACGACCAGTCTTTTTTTTACGAATTTTGACCAAATTACACAATCACGAACGAAAATTCAACAAAAATCGACCAGTAAAAGAATTACAAATAGCATTTGCTTAACTACGTAGCCTTCAGAAATTTTATTCGACCAAATAAGAGGAGTTGTAATGGTAAAATTATTTACCACTCTACATTTTGATGTCATTTCACTAATTATCATCATCTTCAATTTCTTTAAGTAATTCGTTATATTGTTGTTCAAGTAGTTTGTATTTGATTCTTTGTTCTTTTAACATTCGTTCATATTCACTTCGAATATTAAAATTTTCGAATTCAGTTTCAATATATAATTCATTCAGTTCTTCATTTTCGTTTTTAGCCATCACATAACATTCTTGTAATTTTTTATGTCCTTGTTCTAATTTATTATGTACATTTATTGTTTCTGACGATGAATCATTTAGTATTTTCAATTTTTCACAACATTCTTCTTCTAGTTTTAAACGTTTTAAACCAAAATCATCATTCAACGATTTAATGACATCTTTTAATCTTAATATTTCAGCTTCTAAATCTTGTTCACTAAGAGAAGTGATCGGTGTTAAATTTTCATCATCATCATCATCAATAGCATCACCAAATGTTAAAAGTGGAGTGATATCGTTATTTCGAGTATGATGCAAGTCATTGTTAGATAGCATTGTGGAATCCTTAACGTTAAACTTCATTACTTTTTTATTTGTTACTATACACTTTTTGACATTTAGTTGTTTTTTATTCAGATAATGAGGTTTATCTAGTATTATACGATCGACAACATCTAGAAAACCGAAACAACAAACAAGCACTATTAGTTAACATAATTTAGTAAGAATTTTTGAGAGAACGTAAGTCGTTCTAACGGTTCGTATCAGCACGAATCAGAAATGGGCAACTCCGGCTAAGTTCGACTCCAACTCAACTCCAACTCCGTTTCAACTCCGACAGGAACTTATTTTGAGAGAACCAGACGAACTACATGTTACCATTCGAAGTATTTTCTAATTTTACAGAGATGTCAGCGGTTATAACAACACACGGTGTCAATAAATGAGCAAGAATAATCCAGTGCGTCAACATAAGGTTTCGTTTTCTTTTCTGTGCATTTCTTTCAAATTCTCCTTCTATAACGTTGATTCAGAGAGAATAGGTAATTCTGTACAAGAGGGAGAACAGATGCTAAAAGAATAATATAAAAGAAATAGACATGGGAAAGGAAAAACGAGAGACCTGTTTGGATCAGCTCTAATGTGATCACCGCAGAAAGCAGTGAAATGCAAATTTTTAAGTGGAGTTGTGGAGTTGGAGTTGAACAAATCTTAACTCAACTCTAATCTAATAAAAACGCAACTCCAACTCCACTAAAAAGAAGCTCAACTCCGGAGTTGGAGTTGCCCATCTCTGGCACGAATATACTTTTATCTGATATTATAGATGTACTCGTAGTTTAAACATCTGTCATTACGGTTGAAACTTTACACAAATGCCATTCTTACCGTAATCAGCAAATTCTACTAGAACATATAAGACATTTTTTTCATTAACAAATTTGCAACCATAAACATGTCCATAATTCAAAAAATACTTTTTCATTTCTTCCAATAAACTATTATTTTTGTATTCATCATCATCGACAACCACCATCAAATCTCTTGTAGTATCATAACGTTCTTTTGGATGATCGATATCATAGGGCAAAGCACGTTTCACATACAAATTGCAACCATTAATATTGTGTGGCCGATTATTCATTACTTTATCAACATCTTCGGTAGATTCAAATGTTATAAAAACATAACCACCCAAAAAATTGTAATTGATAATACTACCATATTGTTCGAAATGGTTTAATAATACTTGTTCGTCTATAGAATCATTAACATTTCCAATACATATTTCTGTATAAATACGATCAAATCTTGGGCGATTTAGAGCTATTATTGACATTCTCCTATCTACAACAAAAGTACATGTTATAACTTGAATTGTATTATTAAAAAATGGAGGTATCTAAATTTTCTTATTAGATAAAGTTATATTCTTGTTTGAACATAACAAGATATCTGCATCATTGTTTCTAAAACTTGAAATCAATACAAAATTTTTCATTTTGTCAGATTGAATGCAACACAAATTATTGTCAGATAGCATTCAGGAGAAACTCATCATTCTAGAACTTTTTAAATTTTGATCTCCTTGACTCGCTAGAATTCTACCTTTCTAAAGTACTTCTACAAAGAGTAGTAGAAAGTAACTATACCTAAAAAAAATAACAAATATTTGACGTATTTACACATTGTACTATCTAAAGCACAAATAAATAAAATTTCCTAAACCAGAAAAAGATATGATTACTTTCTCAAGCAGCAAATAATTGATTATCGGTCTCCAGTCAGACAAATAAACGACTGTAATTCAGTATCTGGGACTTAATAACCGCTAACATCAACTACACGTTTGAGATGGAATGATGAGATGAATGATGCTTCCATCGGAATCAAAGCAGAAAGCAAAGTGGAATTGTTTCGTGTCAAAGTGAAAAACAGAATGAAAATAAGATTTTAGTAAACCTTGTTTCTACTTGTACCAACCAGCATTAGAAATATTGACACACAATGCGTCCGCCCAATAACAAGAAGAATTATTGAGTCGTAATGCTTAAAGACAATAGCTCTAGCATTCTATAAATCTGAGCAACACACAATGGAAATCATTCAACGTTAGTGCTTGCAAGTATTAAATGATTTATCGTAAAAATTCTCTAAGAAAATCTAAGAGAAAGTTATGATCGTATAAAATAACACCCATCGCTTTTAATATCAAGTCGCCAGCTCATAAAATATATTCTATTTCGTTTTACTTATATTTCTTTACTACAGGATCAATCATAAGAAAAACATAATCAACATGCATACAGCTCATATCAAATGTTATTGACTCAGAGACTAAGTAAATGCTAATGGCAAATCGTACCTCTTTCTACATACGCGCGGTTTCTATCAAACAACGACATGTTGGATTGTTCATGGTTGTCGGTTGTGTAGGACAATCAGTAGCAGAGGAAAATCAAATGTGACTTGATTAAAATTTCATCGAAATTTTTTGGAACTTTATATTAAAACCACTTTAGAGAACTCATAGAGACTTTATATTTCAGTTTTGAGTTGATTAGTGACCATGAAGATAAAAATGAAATATAAATATAGGTTGTAACTTCATGAATTTTAAATTTAGTCGGTATGTTTGCCATTTGAACCCTAATTATTCAAATATTATATTTGTTGCTTTGGGTGCTTGATAATGAAATGTTTCTGAGATAAGAAAACGTGTTAGATAGTTTTGATGAAAGTGTTTTCGTCTAATAAACAAATATTTGATGTTACGCTGACAAATTTTCACTTGGACTAAACGATTCTAAACCATTATTTATGTTAATCTCCTAGAAATACATGATAATTTTCAATCTTATCTTAAATCTTTATACTATATAATTTATAAAATTTAAAACTCCCCAGTCACTTTTCCAAATACCGTTTATGAGTTTCCTAATGTAGCGAAGAAAATATCGATGGAACTTTTTTAACCTGATATTTATTAGCTTTTATTTAATCAGGAATTCAACTTACGCGATGAAAGTTGCGTATAAAGTGATACAGATTCATGAAAGTAATCACATATCTCACAATATATGAACAACAGAAAAATCCATGACTCTCACGATAACTGTTCGACAAGCCAAATAGGAAAGTTCGACGAACAACAAATAAAAGAAGTTTTTAAGCTAAATTTTTATTTTAACGGCTTAGACATGAAACTCTGCCGAAAATGTTTTGTTAAGTGCGTGGCTATTCCAGTAAAGCTGCTACGCAGCTGAGAGATGTCTCATTTAGCTAGGGTAATTTACTTTAAAAAAAGAATAAAATAAACTCTTTTCAGTCTGAAAGATTAATTTAAACTACGATATCAATTATATTATTACTATCTTAAATGGTGTAAACTTAAGCATTGAATTTCTGACAAACAATTTGATGATTCTGATGTTGTTGGTAGATAGTTGTTTGGCTACTACCCGATATTTAGAAAATTGAGACTTAGATTTAGAACATTTAAGATAACAGTCGTATGGATTAAATCATAGTATTTACAAAAGTTTACCTGAGTCAATTTTAGAAATTTTTAAATTCAAACTTTCTAAATTTTGAGCAGCAATCAAAGAATTTTTCTACCAACAACATCAAAATCATCAAATTGTTTTTAGTCGCCATGCGTTTTTTCGTCATTTTTTCAAATATGACAATGAATCATTTCAGATAAAAACAAAAGTTATATTCAAAAAAACGAAACAGTACTCACTTTCACTTAATTTATTAATGGCTTTTTAGCAGTATCATCTATCAAAATTTGTTAACATAAATCTATTCTAATAAAAACAAACATTGGTAAGTACATTGCATATTTAGGTGAACTTCAATTTTAACTATCACTTGTTCATCAAATTCATTGATACTCTCTTATTTTTCTCTCTATACTTCGATTTTCGCTAAAAACTGTCTAATTAATTACTGTAATAGACAAAAAAAAAGTATTCTTCTTTACTTTTTACTTAAAGTATAAAATTAGACAACAAATAAGAACAATAGAAAAATGCAACATTGAGGACATTCTGATTTTAGTCGAAGAAAAGAAAAGAATATATGGTGTGACTTTAGACATGTACATAATCAGAGGAACTGTTTGTGTTAAAATAAAAAACAAAAACAAACAAAATCATAGAAAAGAAGAAAACAATTGTTAATTAGTCAAATCTTGACTTTCTTTTCTTTCTTGTTTCATTATCACTTGTCATTGGTTGAGGTTGTTGTTGCAAAATATTTCCAATAAGTTCATCAAAATTTTGTGTTTGTTCATCTTTTATACGTTCAAGTTTTTTTTTCATAAATAAAAACTGTTTATTGTACATTATTCGATAATCTTCTTTCATTTTTGTCAATTGTTTTTGAAATTTCATTTCAATTTGTTCAATTTCTTTATCAAAATATTGTTTAAATAATGTTTGATCAATTTCCTTGTTCAAAATTGTTTTTTGTTTTTCTTCTTCTAAATTTTCAATGACAGTTGCTAGTTGTTGCTCCAAATCAAGAATTTTATTAGCTCGTTCAACTAATGTCGTATTCAAATTATCACGAACTTGTTCTAAATTTTTTACATCATCAATCGATTTTTGAAGAGCATCAGTAATTTTTTCCAAGATAAAATCACCAATCGCTTCATTGTTCACCATTAAATCCATTGAAGTATTCGTTAATGTTAACAGTTGGTTATTTTGTTGAGTATGATCTACGAAAAAAAATTAAGAAACCGATAAAGAGTGTCAATGATTTAAAATTTCTACAATCGATGTTAAAATTATTTAATAAAATTTATCTATTTTAAGGTACTCACTAGACGGTGAAACGATTGAAGGAATCTGATTTGCGATGCTTATTGTTGGCGAAGAATTTATTTTATTTAATTCAATTTTTTTAACTAACTGTTGATTTTTAATTTCTAATGCAATATGTTCCTCTTTTAGTTGTCCAATTATAGTATTTAATTGTACTCGTTCTTCTTCAATATTCGCTTTCAATTGCTCAATTAAATTAGATGAATGATGATTTTCTTCTTCGATTAAGTGACATTTTTCTAATAATTTTTCATAGTCATTTTTTTGTTTTTTTAATTCTTGATCATGTAATTGTTTAAGAATAATGATTTCTTGTTGATGTTTGAATTCTTGTTGGTCTTGAAACACTTTTAAACGTTGACTTTGTTCAATAAGATTTCTTAAATGTGTATTAAATTCTTCTTCGTTAACTTCCTCATTCTCAGTATTCGATGATGAAATATTTACTAAATTTTCTTCCATAATAATCTACAAAAAAAATAGAATTATACTTTATTTGCAACAGTTTGAGACTATAATCGTCACAGACAAAAATGTTTCTAGGTTCAAAAGAAATTTTTAGATTGTTGTCGTCTATTGAAATTTCTGTTCTTTCACGAAAATTTTCTCACCTATATTCAACAATGAGTTTTTTCTAACTTGTTCCCTTTGTTTTTTCTCCCTAACATGTTCTGTATTGTCCTCCGCACATATACATAAGGATATTCGATTCTCGATTCCCATTTAAGAATCAGCACCGCTGTTTTTTGTTTTGAGAAAGGTAGATTTAGTGTTCATAGAGTATACTTCTACGCAACTATTTTTTATATGAGATAGAAGAACATTGTCTTATAGATTTGTATCCATTGAATGTTATATGGGGACTACTAGTAACAAAAGCCAAAAATTCAGAGTATTAAGAAGCATGCAACTTGCATGCTATTATTACAGTTTAATTAAATTTGTGTTCCTTTATCGAGTGGAAAAAAACCGATAGAAAAACTCGTTCTTTTCTCTTCTGTATTAAATCGTCACTGTCTGAAATTTTTTTTCCGATTCTAAGCACCGCGGTTTTGATTCCAGCACCGAAAACCCAACATCCCTACATATATACACACACACACACACATACGCGGAAAAAAATTTTCTATTGCACTTCTAAAAATTTACATATCTGCTTCTTTCTTCTTCCTTAGGACATGGCGTACTTCTAACCAAAAAATAGGAAGTACTTGGAAATTTTTCAAAAGAAATGTCGCGGTATACTAACGGTAAATACTGTACACTTAACTTGTTCAAAACAATAAATTAGTTATCCTTATAACTGCTTCACACTCATATTAAAATGGGAAACAGTTGACATCAAAATGACATTGTTGGTTCATTACTTGAAGGATATTATTATTGAATAAATACTCCTTTTACATTTCTACTTAGGGCTGACCAAAAGTTCGTAGAACAATAAATAAAGAGCCCTGTCGAATAAGATGACTGTCCCAGTTGCAAAATCAAATGCATCATCGTGTAGAGCTTTTCAAGTCACATCAAATGGGTATATAAGAAATCTATTTTTCGAAATTCGTAGGGAGCTAGATCGAGTTTACTGATGGCAGGATAGGGTGTGGTAAAAGTGCTATCAATCCAGATAGGTAATCATCTTTTTTTCTCAAACATTAGATAACTGAAGATGTGAAACATATCAAATTGTAGCCCATCAAAGACTTTATACAACTGTATATAGAAAATATTTGAATACTGAGTAGCTATTTACCACAATTGTGGATCCTGTCCTGCCATCAGTAAACTCGATCTAACTCCCTACGAACTTCGAAAAATAGATTTCTTATATACCCATTCGATGTGACTTGAAAAGCTCTACACGATGATGGATTTGGTTTTGCAATTGAGACAGTCATCTTATTCGACAGGGCTCTTTATTTATTGTTCTACGAACGTTTGGTCAGCCCTAAGTATTTGTTCAACTGTTTTTGAAAGATAAGGAAATAGCGAAGATAAATAATCATATGCACAAAAATAAATTAAAAAGTTGATTAAATTACAACGTCAAGAAGAAGAGACATATTCGATTCTTTTGTATTCTTACATATTCACAATAGTAAACAATTCCATTCAAATACATGCCATTTTTATCTATCATTATGTTGCGGCTGCTACCCAAAATATAGAAAAATCACTAAGGAGTTTTGTAAAAAAATTGTTCCTGTGAATAAGGACTCTTTGTTTGATCGCTTTATTTGTCATTATGAGATTAATGACAGCATCTATAGTTGATGATGATTAAAATTGTACATTCAAAAAAAACAACGCAAAAACTAGAAAATGAAAAATATGATGAACGACGAGAATGCTACCGTTTGAAACGAGATATCATGATGCCCAATGAATGGCTAATACACGACTAAAACACATACAATTAGTTGTGTATTTGAAAGTAGAGAAAATCAAAGAAAATTTACGCACTTACAGAATAGTCTTATTTATTGACGTGGTAAATAAATACTGTAGATAAAGTACAGCATAACAAAACAAACTATACAATGTATGTACTATGTCTCTTTGTTTCGTGCTATCATTTCTACAATATATTTTCTAATTTGACTAATATTATCCATGTCCGTATTTCGTTTTGCTGATATCATCTCTATTTCGTTAGTTAACTCTTTTATCTTCAATTCCATATCTTCCACTTTATATGTTAAATATTCGTTTTGATCTTTAACATCCAACATTTCTTTTCTTTCATTTTCTATTTTTTCTATTTGTTCATCTTTTACACTAATTAATTTTGGAAATATTTCGTTTTCAATTTGATATTCTGATTTAACAGTAACATTTACTAATGGAGATTGTACTTGTTTTTTTAATTCACTAATTTCTAATTTTAACCGTTTATTTTCTTCAACTATATTTGAAAAATTTGCTTGATATGTATGTAATCCTTGCTCATAATACTGACGTAAATCAATCAATTCTTTCTGATGTTTATCTTCTAATTGTTTTCGACAATTTCGAATTTGAGTACATGATGCTATCATAGCTGTAACATGAAAATCTTCCTCGTCAACATTTGAAAGTGAATTAAGACTAGTATCTTCGAGTTGATTGTTAGTATTCATAATAATGAATTAAAATTCAAACAGTAAAAGTGAGAAACTAGAGGCGATTTTAAAGTGGTGAGCAACTAAAATTTGAAAGAGAATCAAAAAGGTTGAATGATTTAAAACTGAGAAACGAATGATTCAAGATCCTACCTTTGAAAAGGATCTTCATAAAAATATATAAAATAGAAATAAAGATGAAATACTGTAAAATTTTATTTGTAAGAGAATCTGAAAATATGAGAAAAAATAGTATAGAGAGAAAGATCAATTTTTTGGATATTTCAATTTATTATGTGTATCAAGCATCGGGGCTATGTCAACTTCGAACCATATACATACGGTTCAATCTGATCTTTTCAACATCTTTCTTTAGAGTCAGGCTTAGTACCGAATCCTCTCAGCTTTTCCGAGATCGACAAAGTTATATCTACTATCACAAAAGACCAAATAAATGAGAAGACAGTATGCACAAATTTCGTCTACTAAATATTCTGTTAATAAAAATTTCAAAAAGAGTCATCAAAAGATTTCAAGATAATCATATCGTGTAACATTTAGTCAACGACAAAGAAGAATGATTGTTAAAACAGTGTGAAAGAAAAAAAGATACACTATCCTAACATTAGAAGAAAAAAAAGTTATATAGAGAAAAGATGTTAAGGAGTTTTCCTCTAACAGAGTAATCTGACAAAATATTTCGTTTTAAACAAATTAAAAATGTCTTCTTCATAAGGTACAATTAGTTGATATCATGTTATTCATTCATATTATGATTTTGACTTAGATTTTTTTGTTTAAATTTTTGTTCAAAGTCGTTAATATGTTGCATAATACGTTGATATCGTTCATGATTTTGTTTAGTTTTTTTACATTCTGCTATCATATCATTCATTTTAATATCAAGATCTTTGCATTCTTTTTCTTTTTGTGATAATTTACATTTAATAAAAATATTTTCTGTCTGACATTTTGCCAATTCTAATTGAGCTTGTTCTAATATTGTTTGTAATGTTTGTATATACGTTAGTGATTCATTAGTTTCTGGTTGCGAACAATAATCGAATGGTTCTATTTTAATGGATACATTACTACCCAAAATGGCTTCTTTACTTTTACATATATCAGACAGGTTTGAGATTGATATTGGAGAATTTGCTCTTAATTTTGCTTCATATGATTCTTTAAGAGTTTGTATTTGTAATCCATGATTCTGTTGTAATTGAATTAAATGAGCTTTCTCATCGGTTAAATCGTTATGTAACTTTAATGAAAATGCATAGATTTCTTGAGAATAACGTCTTTCATCTTCTAATTCATTTCTTAACCTCGTTAATTCTGATGTATGTTCCATTCTAAGACGATTGTTTTTAATTGATAACTATTGTTGTTTTTTTGTAAGTATTTCAATCCTGTATCATCCTTGAATAAAATATAAACCGCACTATTATGTACGTTATATGGATAAAAGAAGAAACATAAAAATTATGATACAAGTAGAAAATATCAATGTCTTAAAACCTTCGATAATTTTGTTATCAACCAAGACTTGTTTCCTGATAAACAACTTGGAAAGAAGAATCCAGGATGAGCAAAAGACCAAATAAAAATATGAACTGTTACTTTATTGCACTATTATATTTTATGAGGTTCTGCCGTTATGATTCATTGCTACTATATCGTTATTTGCTCAAATTTGAGTGGAAACTGACTCCACTTAAAATAAATGAACGGGTTCACTCATTAGTCCTAACGTAACAAAATTCTAGTAACCTACATCCATTAAATTATCGTAGAAAATCGAATCAAATTTACACAAGTTTTCTATCTTGTTCTAAATCAGCGACAGTATACGCAAGTTAACTCGAAACCAAGTGTTTGAGAGAGAGAGAGAGAGAGAGAGAGAGTCAGCACTGACCTATAACACTTCATATAAATAGTAATTTAAAAAAGATGATCATATAGCTGAATATCATGAAAGATATTACAAAAAGCAAGAGATAGTGCAACTCTTTCACCACTAAACAAAAATAAAACGAAAAGAAATTGAGTTTTATCAATTGTTTATTTGATGAAAATAGAAAAATAAAATTTAAGAAAATATGCACAGTCATAATTTAACTGAACAAAATCATCCTTCTCCTAATCGTTCAATACAATCAAATTTTTTCTGAATATCATCAAAATTTCCACGTAATTTTTTCATTTGATCAATTAAATATTTATTATCATCCGCTAATTTTTGATTATCTTCCTTGACTATATTCCCTTTCTTTTCATATTCATCATATTGACGTTTCATTTCCATTAATGCATGTTTTTTTGCATCCATTTGTTTATTTAAATTGTTTAATTCATTTTCTAATTGAGATAATTCAACACAATTTTTCTCTGTCATTAGACGTTTGTTTACAATAATTTTTTCATCAAATTCACGTTGAGTTTTGATCATTTTAATATCTAAATCGTCTTTTTCATCTCCTTTACATTTTAACTGTTCATTTATTTTTAAATAATCTTGTGTCAATGCTTTAAAATCTGCTTCATATTTGTCTACTTCCATTTGTCTTTTTTCAATAAATTTTTGTTCATAATAATTTTTTAATTGAGCTTTATTTACTTCGTGCCGTTTACGTAAAATGATTTCTTGTTCTTTTAACTCTTTGTTTTCAGCATTCAGCCGTTTCGAAGTTTCACAAAGAGATTTCAGTTGACTATCGAATGCTTCTGAATCAAAAGCATCTAAATTCATCATATAGATGATCTTAAACACAAAATGAGTAGTTATATGTCCACGTACACAAGTTTGTGTACTAATGAACAAGAATAATCAACAGAAAACTGTTGCGTTGAATTTTGTACTACTGATATCTTTTAAATACGACAGTTGACGAAAATTATAATTTTCCAAAAATAAAAAATGGATAGTCATGGTAGGAACTATCATCGTGATCAGTTCCTGTCTATTCATAACATCGATATTTGTCTCACGTTCGACTACAGCAAGATGTCTAGTTGGTATATATATATAATACTGAATGTAAAAGAGGAGAAGTAGGAGGAAAGAAAAAAGACCTACTTCGCCATATAGACTAGTCATCATCTGTTTTGCTCATAGAACATAGGGTTGGTAGTAGCCCTCATGTCTGCAAAAATTTGTCAGATGAGTAAATTTTCTAGATGAAGAACATGTTTCTATGCACTTAAAAGGCAAACAGCATGGATTGTAGAACTATTTTTTTCTCTTCTATTATGATCACACTATTTATAGTCCACGCAACCAAAAATTTAATCATGAAAATAGAAGAGATAGCTACAGATAAATCTCATCTATTAACAGAAGTGTATTCTAATTTTCAGCACTCACTTAGATCACATATTTCCTTCCAATATACTGTATCATCAGGTCTGCATAGTTTACATTTTATGTTGAACATTGTGTTAAGAGAACACGAAATAAAAGTACATATTTGTCAAAGATACGAAGATGTATGTATATGGTGAAAAGATTACGTGGTACCACTTAAAATAAATATTCACGTCATTGAAATAAAAAAGAAGGAAACTCGAGAAGAAAGATAACTATAAATGGCTCAAAACATTCAACTTTTTTTTCTTATCACATCAATCACATCGTTTTCGAACAAATTCAAAATAGAACTTCCTTGATTAAAATTCTGGTCAATCTGTATCTTGAGGAAAGGATAAAGACACAATCGTAGATCTATATAGTAGTAGAATTCAATTTTGGCAAACTATCTCTTTCTCTTTCTCTTACTTCTTTGCAAAGTAGAACGTACATTCTTTCCTATTTAGCTTTAAATCTACATCATCGATACAGACATATTATTATTTTTATGCATATTTCATACTGATAGCACGTACAATACAAAAAAAAATATACGTATATATATATATATATATGTAGTCGAATAACCATTTATCAAAAAGTAAAGAAAAAAAATTCTGTCCAGTATTGATGTTATATAAATTAAAAAAAAATCCAGCATTATATGACGAAAGAGAATAAAGAGAAAGTATACATAAAAAAATACACACGCATACATACAGTCACGTTAAATTTCGTTATTTCTTAATAAATCATCGATATTTTCAGTTAGAGTTGCAAATAAACTTAATTTAGTCTCGAGTAAAGTTTGTTCTAATGTATTATTGCCAATATTTTCTATTTTGTCGAGATAGTTTTTTACCCGTTGATAAAATAAATCCCATTTGTCTCTTATTTGTTTAATTTTTTCAGCACGAACAAATTCTTGGTCATTTATTTCTAATAGTTGTGTTTGTGAACGTTTCATATTAATGTCATTGCTATTCATCGTCGATGAAGTTCGTTTAGAATAACTTAAACATGGTGAGCGTGATGCTTCTTCATTGATACCCTACAAAAATCACAGAGAAAATGTAAATGTTAGAAATAAACATATAATTTCTTATTTATATACCATAACAGTAGTAGAACGTGGATAATGAGAAACGGCGTTAACTGGTAAAGTTGGAATCGATTCACTTGGTATTGATCCTAGATGTGTTGGCACAAATTTAGTCTAAAGAGAAAAATGAGAACAAAGTCAAAATGCATGACAAAGGTCAAGTCTAAATATATTTTTAGTGATTGCAGAAACTCACTCACTCTTCTCAACCAGCAGTGTCACAGTTCCTACGTTTATAAAAAGTTTCTTTCTCATCATGAAATCCAATTAATTTTGATGTAGTGGAAAGGCATAAAGTCAGAGTTTTTGTCAAAAAATAAAATTTAAAAAATATAAAATTCAATGGATTTCGATAGAATCCTTACTCTTTTGTGCTCGATTGTGTAATCAAAAAAAGTTTTTACTTTGTTAGATTTTGTCAATACTTCATAAATTTTCGGTTAACAAAATCTTGATTTTATGCGGTGATTCAAAGTTTCGATTGATAGTTTCCGACTGATAGTCACAATACTTTTGTACCTAACGACATAGAATTTTATAGCTTCAAGTAAAATGATAAGAAAAACGTCTTTTTAGAATTTTAAAAATGGCATGAAATCTATGTTTTAATATTATACAAGCGGTGTTAATTTACAAATCTTCAGAATTCTTTTTTAATAATATAGATTTCACCAACAAAATTGAATTCTATGAACAACATAAACTTTCTCATGGCTGAAACTAGCGGAAGAACAATGGAAAAATAGTGCAATTTCTAATAACATTCGATCGTGTAATATTGTGTCATACTCACTTCTGTTTCTGCGACAACTGGATTTGTTTTATCTTTAAAACACTAAAAGAGGCAAAGTAAAGAAATATCCTGTACAATTTTTTTAGATAAAACTCTACAAACATCTAAAAGTCTTGTTGTTTGCCGTTGTGCCCTTGATGAACGTGGCATGCTAGATGCTCGTTGTGCAGTCGCATGCTCATTTTGATCAATACGAACTGGTACTGTTAAACGACTAAAAATATTGTCCGGTAACTCTTCACCAGGCTGAAAAAATGTCATACAGATAAGTAGTCAACAGAAAGAAAGTAAACTTTCTCACCATTCTGACATATTTATAATAATATAAACCAAATTTAACATCGATTCCTTTTAATAGTGCTTCATCAACCTCCGTTTGTTCCATAACGACTAGAAGAAAAATTAGATTTTAATAATACTGTATAGTACGTACGACCTTTCTGCTTACTTAAACCAGCACCAGTGTATTTGATTCGTTTTTTATCTTGAACAAGAGCATCGTAGTCATAACCATAAAATCTTTAAGAAATAAAACCAATTTCAGAAAATGTGAAAGAAAAAAGAAATAACGACCTACTCGCATGCCTGTTTAATCGAATAATTGTTCGGTAACCTAAACAGAAATTATATAGTTTTCGAAAAAAATTCCCAGTCAGTGCACAAACCTATTTTCGGCGTTGCTGTTTTCACAATTTTCTTGACTAGCTTGATGTAACGAACGAGCAAAAACTCTACAAAAAAAAAGGAAAAATCTCTCAAATAAAAAACAGACACTTGACAAGAATAACCTGTTCCATTCTGTCCCTGTAATCATTATAATCTCCATATTGACCACAAAAGAAGACCCTCGATGAACGTCAAAAATCAATAGCTTTTCTTTGGGTTTCATTCACTGGAATAAAATCTTTATCATTTAAATCCCAAGCTCTCATCCACTATTTGATGGAAGGTAGAAAGGGGTGAAAATTGTTTACTAGATCATACGTATTTCTGGAAAATTGTTGCTGCGGTACTCGTACACTATCTCGACGTGTGGAAAGCGTCGGCTGTGAAGCGGGAGCTTGAATACCATGTGGATAAACTGATCTAGAGCATGAAAATACAGAACTTTCAAAGGAAGAAATCAGGCTTTCGTTGTTTACCGTCTTGGTAAAGCAATGGTTCCCCGCGAACCCGGGGTTATAGGTACTTGTCTGACGAAATTACTCTGTCGAGATGATTGAACAATAGTTTGTCGTGATGACTGAACGTATTGCGATTTCAACGGCGGCTGATAACGTGGAGTTCCACTAAAAAAAAATCATTAGAATCTAAGTGCTTATCAATCCTCTTAAAATTCACCGTTGAATGTTTGACCGAATAAATCTGTTTTGCGTAGCAAATGAGTGTGGTGGGTAAAGGGAAGCTGTAGAAGCTGGAACTGATGGTGCTTGCTTTTCCACTGGAATTTCCAATACGTTTGCTAAACTAAAAGTAAATCACTCAGTTACAAGAAAAAAATGACTCATCAAGCGGTATTCCAGCTCACTGGCGATTGAATAACGAAGTAGTAGGCGGTCTCAAACCACTAAAAAGACAAAACAAGTTATCATCAAGACAAATTTCATTCATTAATGAACAGCGCACCTTGAATGCTGAAGTGGTGGACGGATCATTGTGTTTATTTACTACAAAAGCAGAATAAGTAAAAATAAGAGACTAAAGATGATATATAAACAAATTAAACTAAATGTTAAAAGTGTTTCCAAACGATTTAGAATAAAGTCAGATTAGACTCCTTCTCTCGTTCAAAACAGAAAAAGCATCTGACAAATCCATCTCGACTCTTCTTGATACTAGATTGAGATCAAACCTGACAGAAACAATATCGTATATATAAAACGAAAATCACAGCTAATATGTTGGAGGCTGTTTCATAAAAATTCTTAAGTGCTCGATTTGCTGACTAAGTCTAGACTTAAGTGTATAAAATTAACACGTAAGTGTACAAAACGAAGACTTAAGTCTGGACTTAGTTAAGTCAAACACTTAAGGATTTTTATGAAACACTCTCCTGGTTTCGAAAGATACGTTTTATTTACTCCAAACTCACATGAACGCACGCCTTTTTATCTTATTATTATTCTTTTGTAGTTATTCTGTTACTGATACTAGAAGAAAATTCTTTTGGGATCAGTAATAACAGGATAACTATAAAGCGAACAAAGACAGATTGACCAATCGCAATTTTACTCAACTTTTCTGTAACACAAAAGTGCATTGAGTTTTCGATATACCATATTCAATCCAGTGCGGAAATATTATGTTAAAAGAACAGAAAAAAACATTATATGAAACGAATCACAGCGGTGGGGGGTGAAATGTACGAAGGCGTATTTTCGACCTGTGTGGAGGCCATAGTGGGGATACGTAAAGTATTTAATATTACTATGGTGGCTAATTCTGGTGAATCATTCAGACTTGGACCTAACTTCGTTTTTTCTGGCGACATTCAATTAGTTTTAGTCTGATAAAATATTTTAATTTAAGGTTATCGATAGGAAGCAAATTCTCAGTGACAACCTGACTTTTAAGCCAGCATAGATATTGACCTACGTAAATAGTTATATCACTCTTATATGTGTCGTGAATTTACTAAAGTATTCATAGCTTCGAAGTATGTTCGTAGAAGATTGTTAAAAAAAACCATTTAGCTGCAACAATAAGTAAGCTTATAAGTTGGTAGATGAAATTTGATTCTTAATATACATACTAAAGGCTTACTTATCTTGGTTGATACTCCTTGACGATTGGTTGATACAGTGATTATTTATCTACTCTTCCAGATTAAGAATGACTGTTAGCTGTGACACAGATCTACCTTCCTTTTCGAACTAGTCATAAGAAATGACAGCGCACGGTGACCATAATCATTCTATTGATTTTCAAATTAATGATTTTATAAATGAGGTAAGTTTTATTATATCATCCAACTTTAGCATAATAATATGGTCAAATTGAAATTGTTTAGTATTTGGATTACAAAGGATACAATGAAACTGTTTCGAGTTTCACAAAAGAACGAAAACAACGTGAAGAACCAATTAGAAGTTTTAGCAATGGCGCAGAAAAACACGATGAACAAAATATTGCGATGAAAGTGCGTTTTATTTTATCTAATCATCAGTAAATAGCTCTGTATAGCATTGTATATTATCTTTTTTTGATAGGATGAAATAATTCAATATTTAGACAATGGTCATCGTAAAGAGTTTTTTCGACTCTGGTCTGAACACGTACCAGCGAATGTTATTGATGAAGATCCATCGCTAAAAGCTCTTGAATTTTTGCTCTATGCTCATTTTGCTATATATCATTTGAAGCCTGGTCACAATCAAGTATATTAAAAAAATGAATTGATCAGACGTGACATTGTTATTTATCTGTTCATTTAGGATGCAGATTTAGCCAAAGAAAATATGCAAATATTAGAAGCATATATGGACTCCATAAAAGGCCAAGCAATATCACAAACAAATGACATATTACCGTTATTTGCATTGCCGTTTGTCCCATCGCCCGAAAAACATTCATCGTTTCAAGAATTATTCTCGGTATATTCAAAATATCAGTAACTGAACGGTAACATATGTGACGATAATTACCGTTGAAGAAAAACCGTTGTACTTTCTTAGAGATATTTGCGATAACAGTTTCTCTTTTCATGAACTAGGATAATTGGCCGTTGCAACTGAAGAAAAAATTAGAAAATTTTCTAGATTGGCTATTTTCAAGACGTTCGTTACCAAAACTAGTTGAATTACTTCAAAATGGTGAACGCGCTTCGCATTTATTAACACAATTAAATAATGAAACAGAAGAATTAAAACATCGAAATCGTGAAACAAATAGGCAAATTAAACATTTGTCTACAGATTATTGCAATTTAATAAGTAATGAAAATTAGAGATTTATTAGTCTATTTTATTATTTCATCATATTTTTTTCAGGTATCACAATGGAACTTGTTGAAACGTTACAAAAAGCAATTGTTGGCCGAACAATTACAAATGAATACATTGACAATGTTTGTGCACGACTAGGTTTACAACGTTTGAGAGAGTCCATACCAATAACAAAAACTGGAAATAATTTACGCTTAGGGTATATTTTACTCATCATTAAATTCTACTCATAGAGTGAGATGTAGTCATTTTATGTCTCTTTTAATTTTTCATTTAGAGTTGATGATCCATTCACAGAAAAACTTGATTATGTAAAAATAAAACGCGATATTATTCTTACAACACCACGACAAAAATCGTTGTTATTACAAGCACTACGATGGAAATTAACAAAAGCTAAAACAGATTTTAAACGAGAAAAATTGCTAGAATGTTATATAACAAATGATTTACTTGGTTGTCGTTCGGATCAACAACAACGTCAACGAGTTATTACTGAAATATCACAACCATCACCAACAAGTGATAATAATGTTAAAGAAGAGTGGGCAAGATTAATCAATACCATAGCATCTTTAAGAAAGGGTAAATAATTTATAACTAGAGATGATATATATTTAATTTTCTTATATTTATTTTTATAGGACGCAGTTATTTAGCGCCAAATGAACAATTAATAATTCGAATGCAACAAGTTGCTACAGCTGAAATTAATGATACACCAACAAAACAACATTTATTAGCTGCATTACAAAAATTAAGTTTAAGGTATTTAACTAGAATTATTTTGTTTATTGATTAAAAATATGTAGTCATTTTTCATAGACGATCAGTTCAAACAATTATGATCAATCACAATATAATCAATTGGCTAATACCATTATTGAGTAAAACAGAGATATTGTCTGATTATACATTAGGTAAAAATGGTCAAAAGTACAGTACATTTTTGCCATGATATGTATGTTCGTTTTTTTTCTATAGAATATGCTGTAGCACTCTTGATGAATTTATGTTTGAGAACAAGTGGTAGACGAAAATGTGCAGAAATATGTGAACAAGCAATTAATGTATTATCATCATTGTTGACACATCGAAACTATGAAGTAATCGAAGAGAAAAATAAATTTTGATTATTTATCATATTCTCTCTATTTAGACTCGTCCTTATGTAAACAGTTCACTTTATTCAATATTAACAGTGAGATCTGTTCGAGAAAAAGCAAAAGATTTGGTAAAAAGTCTTTTTTTCTTCTGTATTCGGATTACTGCGATAGTTTAATTTACTTGTAGAATTTGGATAATCGTCTTCGTTCATTAATTCAAACAGAAAAAACAAATGAAACAAAAGGACAATTAGAATTTCTATTAAAACTTCTATGCGAAGGAGATATGGATGGAAATCAAGCTTCCGATAATGAATATGAAGATAATGATGATGTATGATTTCTTTTCTGCTTTTCAAATGTTATTTTGTTTCGTCGACTATTATTTCAGGAAGATCAAGATGTGATGGAAGCCGATTTAGATCATGGAGATAAACTGAAAGCAAATAATCAAGAATTAAGTGGTGAACAATTGATGGTTCAACAATATGGTCCAAAAAGTACTTCGAACAATAGTAACAGTAAACCGTACAATAATGCTGTTTACTCATCATCTGATTTTAAGTCAAAAACAATGACTGATCATCGTACACCGCTCGATCCAGTCCTGCATCGACCAACTACTCCTGGCCAGTTACGACACTCAATAGCTGCACATAATTTCGATAGTTTAACAACAACAACAGGTGTTTTCAGTTCACAAAGTGGAGGTTTCTCTACAGCTACAAAACAACAAACAATAAATAAAAAATCATTGTCAGCAAGTGTATCGCCAGCTATTGGAAAACAACCAGTCATACGAACAAATTCAACAACATCATCAGGAGAAAAATCAATAGTCGATAATGGTGGTGGGGGTAATGATACAACAACATCAAAAAAAATACGACCAAACTCAGCAACAAAAACAGAGACAAATGCACAACGAACTTCAAATACCAACAATCATAATCCATCATCTAAAAGTCGATTGGATTCAAGTATACAATCATCACAATGGAATAGAACAACAATTAATAATAGTAATAATAACCATAAGTCAACATATGAGACGCCAGTTATGGCATTCGCTGACAGTGCTGCATTGAGCACACATTTATCGGTCGATGATTTAGAAACTTTAACAGAAAACATCAATGTAAAAACAAATCGAAGTACGAATGGTGGTCCAACATCTCCACCATTACCGGCATTTTCACTCAGCAATCCTCGTTCGAGTTCATCAGCATCATTACGATCATCGTCCTCCTCAACAGCGCTCGAATTAAGTGGTACACCATTGAATAATGTTAAAAAAGGTGGCAAAACTTCTAATCAGTGAAGATTCAACATAAAAACTATACTAACACTCAGTAGTTTCTTTTATTGTGTTATCTACCATTTTCCTATAAAAAAAGCATTCAATGAATGTTCCTAGACCTTTAAATAGGTAAAGTTTATGAAAATAATTCGAGCAAAATTTAAGCTTGATTATTCATCTTTGTAGAAAAGATTTTAGTTGTTTAGAAAACTAAAAGTCTAATTATAAATTTTCTGATTGATTTTAATCGCTTTCTGAATTTTATTTTTTCTTAAAACTTCAAATGAAAGTGTGATGTGTTAAAGTGATTGATTGTATGATTGGGTTAGAGTATAATGCGTGTCTATAAATATATAGGAGCGTAGTTAAAATATAGGGTGTGTTTTTCATGAAAGTAACTCAGATACAGCGTAACTCGTAGTTCTGTCAGAATTCGCTTGTACATCAGCGTGAATATTCTTGATTCACACTACTGTATTTCTTCATATATTTAGCTTACATCTAGTTTTGTCAGAAAAAAAGAAATTTATCTGACAAATTTTGTGCTAAATGCTAAAAGCGTCTCATTAAATCTTTATAGCCTTTTAACACTATTGTTGTTTTCTTCTGTAAAAGAAAAATATTTTGTTTTTTCTCACTTTATTCGATCGTACATTGTTTGTTTCTTTTCACTTGTTGTAAAATACGTTGAACTTTGTTTCTTCTTCTTCTGCTATACGAATATGTAAACTTCTCATTTTCTTTGCGTGTATTCTCTATTGTAAAAGATTAATAAATCATAAAGTTGTGAAATTTTATGCTTGATAACTAATCAATATTATCTAAAAATTTGCTGCGAATGAAAATATTCTTCTCTCAACCGTTTATATGAAAGTCATCGACATACAACAAATTAAAAAATTAACGTTTTTATTAACCATCTAATTTCTATAATCTTTTTAGAAAGAATATTATATGTTTTTATCGAGCACTTGTAATAGCACATCGCATTCTAATGGAACAAAAACTGTAATTCACTACATGGACATTCGTTTTCTACATTAGAAATACTCCATTGTTATCCATGCAAAAGAAAATGCTCAAATAGTTTTTTTCTCCAATTATTAATCGTATGTTTAAGGATGCCTACAAATGAGTTTCTGATGTACTCTTCATCTATCACATTCTATTAATCTCAAAATAACAAATAAAACAAACAAAAAATATAAATACAAAACAAAAATAAACATCAAAAACATTTTTACTTGCTAGAACGTATTATTTCATCACAATAATTTTTTATTCTCTCACGATAGTCATTTTTATCTTGCTGTTGTTGTTTTTTTTCAGTCTGTTTCTCCATTAATAATTTAATATTACTATTAACATTTTGTAATTTTCGATTAAATCGTGTTGTGACCTAGAATAAACTTAGTTAGTCAATAATTCGAAGTAAATATTATTAATAATCCACTTACTTCTATTTTTTGAGCTAATTCAACTTCAGACGGATATGTTACGAAACTGGTCACTTTACCCGGATTACGAGAGCCAACACGTCCAACACGACCAGCTCGATGAATATAATCAGAAATATAACGTGGAAAATCAAAGTTAATTACATGAGTAACCTTACCATAAAAAGCACGAAAAAAAGCGATATTAAGATTTTCTATCTATAGACGATAATTCATAATTCTGATTACTTACCCAATACGTATCGACACCTCTCGATGCAATATCTGTTGCACACAAAATAGGATTATCACCATTACGAAATGATTCAAAGTTTTTTGTTCTTATCTTAGAAAATAGAAAATAAATTTGTATAAAAATCATTAAAGAATATGTCATTATTTATGTATACATACATAATTTGTTAAACCACCGTGCATGGTTAAAACTTCAATTCGTTGATCTTTAAAAAAATACTTAAGAAATTGTACGGTCGGTGATTTATTACAAAATATCAGAGTCGAATGTTTTTTTTCAATATCGTATTTTACCAAGTTCAAGAGAAGATCTAGAAATAATGATCAAGAGACAAGAACTATATTTTGAAGTTTTGTTACAAAATTGACAGTGGTAACGGATCTTAACTAGGGTACTAACTGATTGTTGAAGTTCAATTTCAAGAATAATTGTTAAAAAATCAGGATTTACGTACTTAATTTTTGTACACTTCCAATACGATAAAATTTTTGTGGTACATGCGGCATTATTCTATGAAGAGCCGGTGTTGTTAGTTGATCGAAGCTCTCTATCTAACAAAATTGAAAGAAACAAATAAACTTTTAAGGACAAAATCCGTATATATACGTTTTCGAAAGTCGCTCTCAATATGGGTCACGTATATGTACGTGACATACATGACCCGTATTCAGAATGAATTTTGAAAACGTATATATACGGGTTTTACTCTCAAAAGGTTAAAAACTACTCTCTCATATTTTCTATTAACTAACGTTCACAAGTTCTTTAAGGTTTTCTTCCGTTGATGTTGGCATAGTTGCTGAGACAAATATTAATTGTACGGCTGGTATTTTATCATCATTTATGGGTTGTACATCGACCTAAATACATTATTTTTCATAGTAGAACTATTCATGTTTTTTTTATTACAACTATTTACTTCCAAACGTCGAATAATTTCAACAACAACTGGACTGAATGTCGCATCAAGCATACTATCTGCTTCGTCGATAACAATATGTCTTAGATTTGCTCCGATCAATCGTTGTTTTATACCGAAATGTTCATCTAAAAGAAAAAATGACCGTTGTTTTGTTTATGTAAGACATAGTAACCATAATTATACCTTGTCGTAAGATACGAAGTAATATTCCCGGAGTAGTAACCAAAATATCGAATTGACCCAGTGAAAAATTAAGTGGATCCTATAGTAGTACAAAGTATGTATAGAAAATACCATTGGTTTATTCATGTTTATCAAAACATACCTTATCTGGATTAATACCTATGAGAGTTTTCGTTTGAATATCAAGCTCATCAAATATTTTTAACATATTCTACGAAAAAAATCAAATCAGAAATGTAAGAATTCCACTTTATGGGACAGCGACTAACAGTTATTCTACGATCATAAGAGAGAAAGAAGACATCTTATGTTTTTCTTCATTAAATTTGCGCTCAGTTTTCAACTCCTATCCCCTCGTATTAAAAGAATTTCAAAATGACTCTTTTAATGATGGAGTCTAGATTATAAAATATAAAAGGATGAACATACTTGGATTTGCATAACTAATTCGAGTGTTGGCGCCATTATCAAAGCAAATGGTGCATTTTCTGAAACTTCTCTGCGTGTTTGATTTTGTAAACGCATCATTAATAATGATTCGATAATTGGAATGAGATATGCTAAAGTTTTTCCACTACCTTCAACATAGAAAAACCCATTTGATTTAGACAATTTTTTTCACAATGTTGTGAACAGTGTTTTCAATGGGAATTTGAAATAGAGTATACCGGTGCACTTTTTCCCAAGTATAAAGTATAAATCGTGTATACTATTTTATTTTTCTTGTAAAATGTAAAACAAAGGAAATTTAGCATGTTTTAGAATAAACACTTAAAAATGTTGATCGAAAGATATTTATTGTCTATATACTGTTGCTATTCAAGATTAAATACCTGTTTCAGCTGCTAATATTTTATGTCGACCACTTCTAATTTCTGGAATACCCCTACACTAAAAAATATTCAACAGATTAGTAAATTACAATGACCAATGAGTACTTTAGATCTTACTTGAGCTGACGTTGGATGTATTATTTTTACATTTTGTAAAATTTCAACTATTTTCGGTTCACATTGTAATAAATCGAACGTTTCGATTGTCGACTGTGTCCATGCAGGATTCTAACGAACAAACAAATAAAGCAAAAGACAACTCTTTTTAACACGTAACAAAAAAAGACATATTACACACCTTGAAATGATGATCTATAGTAAAATAGTCACCTTTAGAGCCTTGATGACCCCATGTTGCTGATGCTACATTTTTCTCAGTAAAATGGTTATAACGACGTCCTTAAAAAATATGTCTTTATCAGTATCAATGTTAATCTGATTCAGTAAACTAAAAATTATTTTAATTACCAACATGATGATTGAATGTGTTACGTTTACACGATATGATTGGCGGTACTGTTTTGTCACCAGGTGGATCTTGTTCTTTTTCTTGTTTGTAAACAACTTTTGCACGTAATTTTTCAATATTTTTTGTCGTTTTGTGAGGTACAGTTATTTTATTCTCTGTTTCGATTATATTCTAAAAGAGAATGCTGGCATATATATTAAAATTTTTCGGTTTTCTTTTTTGACTCACCAAGTGATAGCTTGAAATTCGAATTATTTGTGGTAATAAACTTTTCAATAACGATTGCTTCTTCAAACACAATCTAGTGTTGAATGAACAAACACATCGACATACAAACATCTAAAACAATAAAATAATATTAATCATCATGTCTTAACTCAATCTTGAATTGCATCACATATAATTGCCTGCCACGATAGACATGCCAACAGATCATAAACAGCGAGCAATTCAACTTTTTGGACCCTATCAGTCGAGGAAGATGCGAAGACGGTACGTGGATTTATGGTGTAATTAAGTAAAATGTACAGTTTGAATGAGGCAAACATTGCAAGTTCAAGTTTCTATAGGAAGAATTAACTTAACGTCAAATTTCAACTTCCTAGTATAGTTTCTTGATTAAAAATGAAATTTTTTTTACACTTTGATCTACCTAACCTTTTAATCTGCCCTAATGCCGTACCGCTTCAATTCAATGAAAGATTTAATAATTAATTTTTATTTTCTTACAAGGAATGTCGAATATATATCGTTTTTCTTCTTTATCACACTGGAACTGACAATAACAGAGATGAATGTAGCATCAATACTAGCAATCGATAATCAACTAACGAAACTTAACTTATAATGACAATAATAATACGTCCACATCAGTAGCTCAAGAACAATTGAATTCGAATCAATACGTAAAATATTACGAAGTACTCGGATTTTCGTACAAAACGAATATTGATGGCCAACCAACGCGTGCGTAAAAAATTTTGTTTTACAAATAATATGAAATTCAACTTTTTTTACACCTTTAAAGATGTAAAGGATAGTATTTAAACGGTTTCAACAATGAAAACACTTTGGCAATTGCTAACGGATCACCCTTCCTCGCTCAATATTTTCGACTCGACAAATAAAGATTACAATTATTGGCCAGTGTGATTATGTATCCATAATTTCTGTAAGAAGTAAGCCAAACTCTTTTTTTACTCAATATTTTCGGCATTCTCTTGCTGAGCAATTATTTTTATTACTGTTCAACTTTGTTTTCGTCTTCTCATTGAATTTTGAAATAATACAAATGAGGGTATTTAACAAAAATTGATTTTGTTTTTATCAAGTAGTAACACTTCCTCATTTTTCTTATAAAACTATTTTATTTCGACGTGATTTACGTCATTTTGCTTTAATAAAGGAAAGAAAACGAAATACAGTAATAGCTACATATTTTACCAACAACAATAAAAAAAATAGTAATAATTTTAGAAAACATACTGTGTATTTGACGAACAGAAGTGAGACATAATTTAAAGTAACGGCATCATAACACATCTTACACAAAAAAAACAATCCCCATTAAACATGAAAATAACAAAACATATAAAGAAAAACGTTTCAATTACGTTAAACAATAACATTAAGCTAACAGAAAAAGTTCTAATGAATGTGAACGTAGTTTAAGTTCTACATCTTTAATTATTCTTAATTTTACTTGTTCTAATTTTCCAGCATTGTATAAACGATAGATTTCATATGTACTATTAGCCGTATTATCTGACGTACAACAATATTGAATTTCATTAAGAGTAATGGGCATTAATTCACGTTTATCACTAATTGTACTTTTAACTTCAATATAAATTACTTTTCCATCAGTATGTTTTATAATAAAATCATACGGTTTGCCTTGTTCATCCATTTCATTTACCCATACAAATTCGAGTTGTTTGAACTCAATTTCACTTTTGTAACGTGCATGCAAATATTCATTCACCCATTGTTCACCTATAAACAAATGTGAAATTCATACTAAGTACAAGCGAAAACATCAGATCTTCTTACATACCCCATTTTCCAATATTTTTTATTATTTGCTCAAATTCAGATGTTGTTTCTCGATTATCGACTATTTCCGATGTTAAATCTTTTAGATTAAATTGTCTCGTTGATGAATAATCAATATTTTCATAATTTTCCTCTATAGTGACAACGTTAGAAGCGATACGAAATGGAAATTGTATTCTGTCCATGTGCAATGATGATTGTTTATTTGTTGTTTCGGCTGACTGAAGTTGTGTTGGATTGAGAGTTGATACAAGTGGTGTGGGCAATAAGGGAGGACGTTTTATATCTGAAATGATAGATGAATCTAAAATAATGAAGAAAATAATTGAATTGATAGATAATAATGATTTGAATAGTTCAATAAATCCAATGAGGTAAAACCATTCTTATAGCTTACCTAAAATGCTTGACTGCTGTGATAATTGTATTTGTTGATGTTGATGATTATTCTGTGATGGATCTAACCATTCTCCCTCTTCTGATTCTGTCATTATAAACTTTGGTCCTGAAGGATGGCTAACAGCCGCACAAATATTCGATGACATAGCTGCAGGTGGCCATGAATGAACAGGTTTTGTTGTTTTAATATCGTCCATATTATTTTCTTCTTGCTGCTGTTGTAAACGTTTATCTCGTTGATTTTTTCTAAATACTTGATATTGTTCTTGATTTTGTGCAACATTTTCTAGCAGTATGCGTACTTTTTCCTCATCTAAATAAAAAAAATGTTAAACTTCAGTTAACATATTTGTTAAAAGAGAAACAACAGTAATTAACGTACCAACTTGTGATTGTTCTTGAATTGTTTGAAATTTTATTTCTTTTCGTGGTATAGACCAAGGTATTAAGCCTTGCTTCAAATGTAATTCAAAATGTTGATATTTAGCAAACGATTCTAAATTAAACATATTTTCTTTCAATTCTTCATTTAATAATATCATAAAATTTGCCAAATTTCTCGCTAAATTTGTGTTCATATTATTCATTTTAGGTATATTTGTTATTTGATTAACAAATATTCTCGAAAAATATTGACATATTTCACGTAGACGTTCATTGTAATCACGTTGAACATAAAATTCTAGAATATTTTCATCTGTCAATATTGAACAACATTTTTCCGATGACAATACAGTTATTAATGAATTATGTTTAAAACGATACAGTATATCGAGACGACCGACCAGATACATCTTTATATTTAATAATTTTTCTTGTAAATTTATTGTTTTTGTCCATTCATAAGCGGTATGAAATTCGGGTCTTGAACTCATATACATTTGAATGTAGGGTACCAGTGGTGAGAGAAAATTTTGTATTTGAGGTGCTTCACACAAATTTTCTGTTATATGTTCAATCACTAAAACATCTGATAATTTTTTAATATTGCACAAATTGAAAAATGCTCGAATATCACGATGTAATTCATTGTATTGATCTAAAGAAAGAAAATATGATAAAAAAAGATAGAACCAAGTCTAGATATAGAGTTTTACTTTCGTTATTTGAACGATTTGTTGACAATTGAAGGAATGGTACACGTTTAATATCAAATTTCGAGGCTATTTCATTATCATCGATAATAATTGGATCATCTTCAAGACATATCCACTTTTGACTTTTAATTGGAAATACCGTTTTACGAGATAAAAGATCTAAAAATAATGCAAAAAACAAACTCTCGTGAAATTTGAAACACGTTTGTAGAATATTAAAAAAAAACGTCGTTTTTCGATATCTCATAATGATTATGTATGAAAAATCCATTATTTTAAACAGATTATGAGAGAGAAAACAGAAATCTATCTCTGAGTACCGTTAACGTCATTTGCTTTTTATTGAACGAACTATAAATTCATTGCAAAAATCAAGATAAGATTCAATGAATCGATCGTAAAATGACAAAAGGTACAAAATCATTGAAATGTATTTTGTATCTTCTCTTTTTTAAAGGTAATCATTGTGATAGAACAACGAAATAAGTGAAAAAACATGTTGTTCTAACTATCATTTAATATTAAATTCTAACGACGATCATTTTACTTAAGCTATGTACTTATCCTACATATTTTTCTTTAAATACAAGATACCATGAATAATTATGATAGCTCATTCGTTTATCTTATCTTGATCTAATACAAAATATCATCTCTTTATACGATTCTATTGTTCAATTCGATTCATTTTTCATCATAATCAGTTAAATAAATAATATCTTAGTCTCACCTTGTATACGTTGTTTGGTAGCGTCTAATACTTCATTAGAATCACTGGTGTCCATTTCTTCTTCTTGTTCAAGCATATCATCTTTGGAAGTTTCGTCATTTTGTTCAATCAATTCACTTCTGGTAGAAGAACAACGTTGACCAACATATCTGTATATTGAAAATGCATCTTGAATTATTGCTTTCGTTGGATGATTATTATTATGATAAGAAATATAATCTAGTAGTGCAATATATTCTTCAATAGTTGGTGAAGTTGATATTTGAAAAATATTTAAAAATAAATGTTGTAAATCAGAATAAAATGGTTTTAATATAAAACGACAAAATTCATTATCATTATTTTCAAATAGAGAAAATGATGGACGATATTTTGAAAACATATATGATGGATCATGCCAACAAACTTCACTTTTATGAACAAATAGACCGCGTACAATGGCATTATTATTAAGAGTTTTAATAGAAGATTTTGCTGATTGAACAGGAACAAAAATAATCGGTTTTTCATCAATCAATTGTTTTAATTCATCTTCTTCCATATTTCGATATAAATATTCGTAGACATATCGAATATGAGATAGTGATGTATGAAATAAAGCATGTTTTAAACCATGTTTACAATCTGTTTCATTTATTGTAGGATCAGACCAACGTAATAACATGGCAACAACATCAGATGGTTTAACACTATGAATAAGACCTAAAATGACGACAAAAAAAAGTTTGAATATTTATGCAGTTTGTTTTTTGTTTTTTTTTGAAAATATTTAGAAAATATCCGTGAATAAAAGAGTTAATTACAGAAGAAATTATTACCTAAGTCTGTTGTGAATAAACTTGATTCATTTACATCAGCATAAACATATGGCACATGTTGATGATATAATTTTTCAATTAATTGTGTTTTAACATAGACTTTATTTGGTGAATGTAGTTCATGTTTAACAATCGTTTCAATACTACTTGTTTCATATGTATCACTATTATCCATTGTTTTAAATTCTGTTTGAATTGTGGGTAACCATGAATCAGTTTTTAAATGTGAATAAAAAGTTGAATCATATTCACGTAATTTTAATCCATTTTCTTCATCAATATCATTTGTACTATTATTTTTATACAAATAGGCTACTTTATAGGCATCATAAAATGACATCCAATTTTCTTCTAATGCTTCAAATAAACGTTTATTAATTATAATAGATTTTGTACTTATTAATGATGAAAATTGTTTACATGTCCAATCTTGAATTGTATAAACATCTGTTATTTGTTCATCCTCTTTCATTGGTACATATTCATCAATATTATTTGCTTCTTCACCACCCATAGATGCATATGGATTATATTCTTCTTCTTTTGATGGTAGAATATCTTCACATCTTACTGACCATAATAATGATAATTTTAAATCTTGTTTATAATGAATATTTTTTATTGATGTTTGTTCAATATGTAAAAAATCTTTTACACCTAATTCATTCATAAAACGATGTAATTTCATTCGATCTTGTATCGATATTTTTTGTTTTTCCTTCATAATCATTTTTTCATATTGTAATTGTTCAATATAAACATCATTTAATAATAACCATTCATAATTTGGATAATCTTGTTTTAAATCATATCGATTTCCATATGTTTTTGTAAAATGAATTGATTTTTTTAATGGATTATTAAATTGTTCAATAGTTAATTGATTTGTTGTTGCTAATTGAATAATCGTTTTAAGATATTTCATATCGATTTGTTGTTGTTTACACCAAAAATCATAAATATAGATTACATAAGCAACAAGTAAATGACAAGATTTTTCTTTCCATAATAAATCATTTACAAATATTGGATAAATATGTTGTTCAATTATATCTTTTGTTACAAATCGTTTAACACCAAGACGTTCTAATACAGTTTGTACTTGTGTTACGGCAACAGGATCATTGGAAATTGTTTGAAATAATTCATTATCAAGTATATTTAAATCTTGTTCAATTAGATCATTTTCAATTGCTATATCTGTTTGTTGTTGATAATGTTTAAAAAATACAACAGTTGTCGATAATGATGTCCATTTTCCATTTGTTAAAGGAATTATTGGTAATGATTGTACATGTTTAAAAATATTTTCTTCTTCTTTTAATGTCAAATCGTTTAAACAACGATATAAACAACAAAACCATTTTGCTAACATATGCTTATTATTGGCAAATAATTCTATTGTTTTTGAAGATGAGGAAGATGAAAATAAACGCTTAATAACATCAATTAATTGATTATGATCAAGACAATGAACACCTAATTCTAATAAACGTCGATGATCAATATTTTGAATTAAATTTTCGGATAAATAATATAAATTTAAATGTGTTTTTAATAATTCTGGTGTTAAAACATCTTTAATGTATGTATCACGGACAAGTACACATTCACTTGGTGTACGATAATCAATTGTTTGATTATCATCAATAATAACAGGTAAAAATGATTTTGCACGTAATTGTCGTAGAATTGAACGACAGACAAACTGAAATAGACCATGAATTTCACTTTCATTTGTTGGTAAATAGCGCAAAAATAATTGAATTGGATCGATTTTTGTAGCATCTTGTTGTTGTTTAAATTGTTCTAAAACATCGTTGTACAATTGAGGTATTTCATTTAGTAACCATTGATTCCATGAACTATCCGATAATATGTCTTGTCGTGACGATGGAACCTAAGAAAACAACGTACAAGAATTAATCAATGAGATAGTTCTTCAGCGAGGGAATGTTGTTCATCAAATTCAGAAAGATAATCGTATAAAAGAAAATTTTTTTTCTGAATTCTACTCACTTCAAAATCGCCTTGTATAATGAATGTAAAGCCAAACTAGAACAAAAGAAAGGTGATATGATTTAACCTTTAACGGACAAATAAAAATTATAAAATTCATACCGTTCTCAATGGTAAATAGGCGCATACATCTTGTTTTGGTAAACTAAATGTTTTATCTTCATGAATATTATCATACAATGGGAAGGCTAACGCTAATTCAGTTGATTCAATATCGAGACTTGGTCGTAATTCATTTGGTACAGTTAATTTACGTTTAAATACAAACCATTTTTCAATAGTTGTTTTTCTTGTTGTTGATAATATTTCATGACAATGTATTTCAATTATTGAACTATCATTAATATCAATGCGTTGATAAATTCTTTTACAATTTGTTACACGATTATCAATTGTTATTGAACGTAAACGATTTAAAAATAATAATAATGATGGATGAATATCGTTGAAACTCGATGTTAATGAACGTGCTTTATGTTTCTGCATTTCACTTTCAGATTTTAATGGTAAACGTATTCGAGTTGTCCAATTTTCTTCATTTATTTCAGATATCATCATCCAGTTTGGTAATATATAGCCAATGGGACCACTAAGTGCATCAAAATAAATAGAATAACCATTTGAACGAACTTCTGGACGATCGCTAAACAAAAATATCATCTAATTTAATACTAGTGGAACATTATGAATTAGTCAGAAAAAACGTACCAAACAGTAAAAATGGATTTAAAGCCAATTCCTTTTTGACCAATGTAACCTTGTTTATGTTTACCTAAATAAAACAGATGTATACTGTAAGAAAGGCACTCTATGCTAAACAAGATTTTATTTTTTGTCTTCACCTTTGGTCGATTTTCCAACATCACATAGTGCTTCTATATTTTCTTCTCTAAAACCATCTTCATTATTATATAATGTTATTGAATTTTGTTCAACAACAAATACTAACGATGGAACATCGGATACTCCATTTTTAACTGATAATTCTAAATTTGTATATCGATTATCATCTGCATTTTGAATAAGTTCCAGAACAAAATGCATATCAGTATTGTATAGTTCTTTTGATAAACGATCAAGACTACGTCCAACTAATGCTTTTAATGCATCTGTCAATTGTTGTCCTTCCGATGATAATTCAATACCAATACCAAACTTTTCACGACGAATACGTTCAATTAGTGAATGACATTTTTCCATAGAATTATCAATCATTTTATCTGATATAAGATCTTGTTTTACTAATACGTTTGATGGAAATGAACTTTTCGTAGACAATAATGATGTATTTTCTATTTTAGGTTCCACAACAGTTCTAGAAATACTTAAACAGATGAAAAAAAAAATAAAATTATAAAGTACCAATTATGTATTAGTTTTAGATCCATTGCAATGATCATTTGCAAAAAATATTTAGAGAATCAGTATAAATACCTGATACTTGTTTGTGGTTTTTCTACAACTTGTTGTGTCATATTTGTTGACTGTACTATATTATCATTTGACCATTCACTAATGCCTAGCCAAGTGCCAAATTTAACAAATCTTATTCTTGAATTATAACCACTATTTTCGTTCAAACATTCATTCCATAGACATTCACGTACTTTTAATACACTGCCTTCAAGTTTAATTAATGGTTCAAGAAATAATCTCATTATTATATTACATGTTAATAGAAATGGCATTCGTGTTAGAAGTTTAACAAGAAATTCATACAATTGTTTTGTCTGTCTATCATTAATGATTGTTTTACTCATAAATGTTTCAATAATGTTTGTTAATAATGCTAATGGAGCATTTTTTAATGAACAATATTGTGTTAATAATGATACAAGATGACCAGATGATTGAATAACATTATAATTATATAATGATTGTTTGAATGTATCAAGTGTTGAAGTTGTGCTTAATTTTAACAAAGTAGATGATTCAATTTCAATTGCACAAACATCAAAAGATATTACAGAATTATTACGAAATGTTATTTGTTTACCAATATATTTTAACAAAAAATCTTTTAAATCGCCCAAAGACGATCGATATAAAATATTCCACTGTGAATATTCATACAAGTTTTCGAGTAATGGACAATTAATAAGGGATAAAATAGCTTTTTCTTGAAGATCTAAAAAATAGACCAAAAAATACTATCATAACTACTTTTTCAGCTTTAAACACCTACCTTCTAAAAATGAATTTCGTTCTGGTTTCTTAAAAATACAATTATCTTCATCTAACATTGTACATTCATACGAAATTGCTCTTTTACCACCAACTGTTATTGGTTTTTTCATTTGTTTTAGTTTTGATAAGACGTTGTGAAATGTGCCATGTCCAAGAGACGTAAATGTGTCAACATGATAATGATAACATATTAGAAATTCATAAAATTTTTCTTGTTGTTCACTAATTTGTTTTTGATTATTATTATTTTCAAGAAATTCAAAAATTAATTGATGAATCTCTTGTAGACTAACACTTGTTTTATTCATATCAATCACCATCATTTTCTTTTTCAACAATTCTTGATCACTATAAAAGGAGAATTGAATATTATCAATTTTTTCATGAAATAAATATTCATTTTGTTTTAAAAATTGTACAAATGTTCCTCGTCCTAATTCATAAAAACGTTCAAAATGGAATTTTTCACATAAACGTTGCTCAATACGTTCTAATAATTGAAATGTGATTGTTTCTAAAGATGAAATTTGTTCTTTAAATGCTTCAATGACATTTTCTTCTGTTGGTCGTACACGATCATCAACAATTGGCTTCTTTTCTTTACTATCTTTTTCATTTTCACTTGTTTCAGATGACGAAGAGTCGGATGATGTAGCCGACGAGGGGAAATACGTTTTTTTACTTGTTTTTTCTTGTTGTTGAATTGGTGATGATTTCGAATTGTTATAATTTGTTCTTTTCTCTTCTTCAGGCAATGCAAATCGTCCAAGACAGATGGAAATTTGAAATAGATTTCTTAAGACTGAATCATCACGTATAAACTTCAGTACTTGATACATTTTCTTGAAACACGGTTTTCCTTTGAATAGAACACGACATATATCTATGAGATCATCCATAACATCGAGTGGTTCCATCGTTAAATATTGATATCGTTGTCGTTCAACGACAGTTAGTTTTGATTCTTTTTCATTTTTAGCAGATGATGACGATGTATCTAACGGACTTTTAATATCAAATTTTTCTTGAATAAGACGTAGAGTTTTTGCAGTTTCTTGCTGGGCCAATAATTTGAGTGCTTCAGCTGTTTGCTCTCGTGCAAGTTCCATGCCTTTACGCTGATTTGCTTGAACAGCTTTTATACACTAAACACAGACGGAAACGGAGAATAGTGCAAGTCAACGCGTAAGACTTTTACTTACAGTTCGAGGTAGATAAGGATTTTTGATTCGAACACCTAATTCATTAATATTTGTTATATTTAATTTACTAGCCATAAATAGCAAAAATTGCTCAACATTAATGTCATTTGCCGAATTCCAACAATGTTGTTTAGTCATAAATTCATCGAGAAATTTCAATACATCTGATGTTCTGACATTCAAAATATGTCCTCCCGTATTCGGTGTTGTTAACGTAGAAGGATAATGAAATAATTCATAAATTTTTGGTTGTTTATATACAGGACCCAATAATAAATCGCAGTAATTTTGTTTTTGAAACAATGACGCTAAATCTTTTTCTAATTCAAATAGTGTACCTATAGTATGATAATATCCATATGAATCGAGGTAAACATTAATTTTATTTTGTGTTCGAATTAAATTCTCAACACATGGTATATGATCAGCTCGATTCACACCAATATTTCCAAGATCTTGTACATGAAAATAACATAATGTACGCCAAAGAACGTCATTCCATCGAACTAAACTTCCTTCATCATGTAAATAAACGATTTGTTTTGCCGCAATTTCATTAACGTGCGGAAGTGGAACACGTACCGTTATTTGATTTGTACGAGAGGTGAATGAGACAAAATTGGGTGTTGACGGAAATGGCGTTAATAACGATAATTGGAGTGGATCAGTATTTACAGTTGCATCGCATTGTGACTGAACTTGTGATGGTTGGATATCGTTTTTCACAACACCATATTTTCGTTCTCGCTTTCGAAGACGACTTCGTTGACGTTTATTCAATCCTTCTAGATTAGATGATGTTGTATCATTTTCATTTTTTCGTTGGCCTTGACTTTTCTTTCCATTTTTTGTTGTTTCAGAAGTGAATCCCAATAACGGACGTTTTAAGTCACCGTGAATGTTATACTGAGACGCTGATAATCTATCGTGTGACCTTGATGGAGAGTCTTCGTCATCTGAACTATTGGACAACGAAGTTGATAAATCTGAATCCTCTTCAGATATTTCTTGTTTATTATCGACTGGTAAAAAACGGCCCCGTTTAGTTACTTGATTATTGGTATCTAAAAAGAGGAAAATAGTCTGAACTATTCATACAATTGTTCATTTATCTAGTTTCACGAAAAACTAACCTTCATCATTTTCAACGTTATTAATAAAAGCTTTCACATTCGTTAAAACAGTAGATGGAACGCCTTTAATAAAAAAAAGGAAAGATAGATGTGATAGCTCAATTAATAATAGTAAGACGACTTTTCGACTGAATTAGCAAGTAGGAAATCACTATAGAAGACAAGAGAATTCAATAACACTCTGAAGAATAGCAGTATATGATTGGTACAATTATGCAACACAATGGTAGAAGTATTAAAGAGTTACTCTGGTTACTCAGTTTGCTTGTTCTAAACGAAATCTTTTTTCCAAAATTACTTAATAGAAAATTTTTACTCAAATTACATCAGTTAAATCTTATGTACCTTGTGATGTTGTTGATCTGGTATCAGTATCTTCATGTGCTCGTTTTTGTCGTGACGATGAGTCAGATCTATTCATTGTTAGTGATGATTGATAAGATTTTTCGTAATTAGTTACTAATTCTGTTAGTTTTTGAACATACGCATGCCAATGGATTGTATCAGTTTCAACCGCATTTTTTAAAGTAATTACTTGTGCATCAAAATCATCTTTTTTCAAAGCATTACGACGAAATGCGACTACAAGTTTATGATGTTGTGATGTGTACGTTGCTTTGGCTGTTTTAATACATGCTTGAGCAAATTCAATACCATTTTTGGCTGCTTCGTATTCATTTTGATTATTCAATGATGATTGTTTTACACTAAACAAAAGTTCATTACCAAATGCAATTAGGATTATACTTTAGTGTTCTTTTAACACTCACAGATCGGATACAATCCCCAAATTACTTGGTTGATTATTCATTTCTCTTGCCACAAACTATACACAAATTATATCTAGAAGATAAAAAGTTGCTCACAAATACAAATACATAATAGAGTGTTGTATGGACTGAACTGGACTTTGAAACATTCTGGAAAAATTGTTTTGATTAATTCTCAAAATCTTCGAATATTTATCAGCGAAAAATGTTTTTTAACTTTTTAAGTAGAACATTTTTTACTTTTACTCAAATATTTTTTGCAGCATCATGAACTCAAAATCTTTCGTCCGTATGAAGCTCTGAGACACAGCAAAAACATTGTTTAGAGCCATGTAAATGAGTATATCCCTTATTAGGTATGATGTTTGTGTTACTACAGGTTTTTAAGAAAGTCTAATTAAGAAACGGAAATTTTAGAGAAAAAGGAGTTTGCGAAGAAGAATAGTTCTAGTGAGAGCGCTCTTTGTCTTCATTTCCATTTTAAATTTCTTCTAAACCGAGACAACTTCTCCATCCTTAACCAGAAAGACTTTAGGTATATGTAGTCGTCTCATCAACACATTGTCATGCTTAGGTAAACGTAGACGATCTTACTTAAGCATACCTATGAGGACTTTTTTGACAGACTAATCTGGATATATTGCGATAACCAAAATAAATCGTGAACGTCGGAATATATAAACGATAGAGATATATCTCGATAATAATTTTATCTACGTGTATCTCGATGAATGATGACTCATCTATGTACTGCACCACTAAAAACTTTTCGACATTAACTTTTGTCGCGATACATTCTGATGCATGTAACCGTCCCCATACATTTCGGCAATTTTTGTAGTGCAACATATGTAAGCACTCCGCTGTTCACGAGATGTTTTGGTCATCACGATGTATCCAGATAAGTCATAATATTGTACATTTAATTCTGTACAAACCATTATATTGCAATTTATTCCACTATATATTTTTTCAACGGGATCTGAGATGCTCTTCCAGGTTTTGCCCATCAGTACCATCCTGACAGACTAGACTCTTCGTGCTAATAAGAAAAAAAACTCAGTCTAATACAAAAGTTGGTGTTATAAACGTTACATATGGTGTAATACGTTCTGATATCTATCGAAAATTTTTTGTTGTTCTATATCCTGCCACACTTTATTATTGAGTTACTACTAAGGGTAACAAATGGAGATTTAAAGCGTCATCGAAAGTGTCATGGTATGATGTAGTTCAGCAGAGAGAGGACATCATGATAATCTTGATTTGAATATATTGGGATAAAGATTATCGGCTCATATTCGCATCTGTATCAGGATACGTTTCATCGCGATATCGCCTCTAAATATTGGGATAAAAATTCTATGGCAATAAACGATGACAAAATAATATCATGCTATAATATTATCGCGATATGAGAAGACCTTATCCCGTTTACATTCATATTGCGATGTAGCGGTCGCTCTGACATATCATGACACTTAGGTTTATCGGGATAAAAGTCACTTTATTGTTCCATTTCAGCAATGGATACTCGTACTCGAGGATAATCGAGTACAAAATTTTCAGTACGCGTACTCGGGACTTTTTTTACGAATACTTAAAAATGTACTCGAGTATTTAAGAGCAGAATATATCTAACTCTATTCGCGTTAACTTCCTTTAATCAGTTAGAGTTACGGATGGAAAAATTCTTGTAATTAGAAATATATCTGCGACTTATAGAAGTGAATAAGATGCTGTGTATTGGCTAGAACCAAAATTTCATTACTCGAGATGCCGCAGTTCTAAAGGGAAAAAGGCGATGATGGCTACATTTTATTTGAGAGATATACTTAGTCAAAGAGTTGGTTGGGCGAGGAAATGAAAACTAGGTCTCAAACTGTAGAATTTTATTTTTGATATAAGCTAGCGAATATACTATGAAAGTTTCATAAAAATCTACCGACATCATTGAGCAGTCTATTTCTCGCTGGCATTTTCAAAGTCGAAAAACTTTAACAGAAATTTAGCAAAAAAACTCGCGTTTGCCTTGAGTTAAAAAATTCAAAAACTTTCCGGTTTTGCGAACAATTTTTCTTCCACATACCAGCAGTGTAAACAGCACTCATTCTTTTAGGACAGCAAGCACATGCAGCAATAGCCACGAAAACTGCGATCCTCTAGAATTAAAATACTCGCACCACACGAATGATCTCAAAAGAATGAACAGAAAAACAAACGAGTAAAAGAGAAAAAGAAGGTGCTTAATCATCGACGTCTATGGAAAACCACGAAAAAAATAATCCATTTCTTTTTTTCAAAACATTAGTGACTTAGTTTGGCTCTAATAAAGTATAAGACGACTTTTGATTTAGTGTATTTCCCTCAGAAAAGTTTTTGTTTTCTTCAACTGTTCAAATTTGTTATTTATGGCAAAAATTTTTAGAACCATTCTTTGATGGTTATTAACGACTTTTAAGCTAAAAGAGGTTTACGCTCCATGTTTCCACCTCCCAAGCATTCAAGGAAAACTTTATGAGAAACCGACTAGCTATGCAACAATAAAAAAGCTTTGATTCTTGATCTCTTCCTTTCTTTGTCTTGTCTTGATTATTAATATCGTTTACTTTTTCAGCTATTAACAAGGATCCAGAATATAGCAAGCCGATGTATACTTTACTATTGGCGAATACAAAACGAAAGGAAAAGAATACCAAAGATGTCTCTGCTATATATGTCATACTGTTCAAAGATCAACGAAAAAAGTGGAAGAAACTAATCAAATTTCATACGATTTGATTCAGATTTTCACCTAGATCACGATTATGAACTTAATTTTAAATAAAAATGCACCGATAATTGAAAAATTTAGCTTTTTATACTTTTTATTCTAATCTATATTGATATCTAAAAAGGAATAGTGAAGAATGGAAGACTTTTTTTCCTTTGGCGCGTATTGACCATATGATACCATACGCTTAGTGGCGGTATCAGGAATTGTAGCCAGGGTGGGCTCAGCCCGACTGTACTTGGAAAGGAAAAAGGGTAGTGTTTATTTTTCCCAACCAAGTTAATTTCTCTCCCTACCTACGCCGCTCTTAAACTTTCGTACAGACAAGAAACGCTACAGAAAAGAAAAAAAAATTTTTCAGGGTGGGCTCAAATGGTTTCAGGGTGGGCTGAGCCCACACGTGGTATCGCCACTACATACGCTTGCTTTAAAAAAGTTTACGTAATCTTTCGGCTATGAAGTGATCGACGTAGCTGACAAAACGTATGTCTCAAATTTCTGTAGATACTCGAAATTTGATCTCTATCCGAATCTAAATGTTTTGGCAGGCGGAAACGTGTTCTCGATACAGCAGCACTGAGACATATTATCGGAGCTTGAGCGAATTATTTTAGGAAAAAGACGGCCATGATTCACCGTTCAGCAGTTGTTACTATCACGTAGCTTGCGGTCGAAAAACTGTATTTATATCCAGGTGTAGCATGAGCTGCAACGTCCTCTAAGATTTTTACTAAAATAGTACACTCTACAAAAAGGTTTTCTTCGGTTATTCAAAGAACTGAAAAATCAATGGGAAGTTTGTTGTTCATTTGTCCCAAATAGAGAACTCAAATTCTGTTCTTCAGCTTTCAAGAACTCAAAATTTGTTCGTCAATGTTTGAAAAACTGATCTTTTCGTCCTTCGGAAATTGAAGAATAAATTTTGAGTTTTTTACTGAGGACAAATGAAGAACAAACTTTACATTAATTTTTCAGTTCTTTGAAAAACTGAAGAACATCTTTTTTTTAGAGTGTAGTAGTCATTTTTTGCGAACAGAATTTTTAATAAAAGCGAGACTAAAATAAGACTAAAAATATATTAGCGAAAACTGCTCCTTCAGTCTCTGCAGGTATCAATGCAATGCATCATGTTTTACTCGGTCTTTTCTTCGAGAACATGATGCATATTACTATTCTCACATATCCAGCACGGATGATAAAATATCCTAAATACATTATAAAAGCTGTTAAATACTCTATTATGGATGTTTTGATCCACAAAACTCTTTCAACTGCATAGAAACTAAGTTGTGTTAGTAGACCATAGAGATATCCAGACAGCAGATACCATAGATGTCCAATATTTTAGTCAGAAACCAACTTAGAAATATATAAAAAGCTCAGAGTTTATTTGAGACTGGATCTTCTAGGAGCCTGAAACCAGCGACATTAGATTTTTTTCATGGTGCATTCCCTCTGGTAAATGAGTTTCAGCTTCGGAGCCATTTCTGTCAATAGTCATTTGAGTTTTAATTTTCCAGTGTGAATAAACATTTTCTTATTCTCCTAGGCTAACAGTTAAGAAAACAAGAACTAATTTGATATATAACCATTATTTTCTCTTATAGTTTGTAATTCAAGAATACAAACTACCGATCATTTTTCTGTCTTTATATGTATGTTCGATACGAATTTTGATTGAAAATTTTACTAAGATATAAGGTAAAGAAGAATTATTACTTATCATTTGCACTAAAGGTTATACTGTATTTAAAAAGTGATGACAAACGAAACGAATAATCATTAACCAACAAATCATTGATGAACTATGAGCGAACTTGATTTGGCGTAACTTTCTATAAAGTGGGTCTTCGAATAGTTTGCGATTGTCTCACGCTTAGTGTCATGGTATGTTAAACCGAGATCTATAAATTTTACAATAACCAGAATAAATGAGAAAAATATTTGTGCAAAATATAAGACATCTTTCGACTTTAATAGTGTTAACTATATTAATGATGCTTTGTCCCTACTCAAGGACGAATTCCGATCGCTTCTATCACCCATGCTTGTTGCAACTACTCGTGAACGTGAGCTGGAACGATTTATTGGTAATTTCTCCATGATTTGACGATCTAAAATAGATTAGTAGTCAGATATGTAAAATAATGATAATGATCAATAAGACTATTTTACCGGTCTGCTGACTTTGGCAATGTGTTGAGGTTGCCACCGCCTGAACGACAGCATCATCGACTTTATCAATTGGACGTGTTTGTGGATTATTTGTGGGAACGACAGTCGGTGATGCGTGCTCGAGAGTTTGATACTTAGGTGTCATAAAACGTACGGGACTTGTAGCTCGTTCACAAGTATCTAATGATACACTTGCTGTTGAAACATCATTTTGAAAATTGAGTGGTGGGAGATGAAATCCAGCTTTGGAGGGTTTTGCTTTCTTTATTGTTGTATATGAAGGCAAGACACGTGAACGCTCTTGCTTTTGAAAGACCTTACAAGGCCAATAGATGCTAGAGTAGGTATAGAGAGAAGGAAGTATAAATCTTTGGGAGATCAGTTAAGGATGAACAAATTTTATGATAAGTGACGAAGGACGGTAGAGTCCGTTGAGATTGATTTATCGACAAGAAAATTGCAAAATAGTCTCGATCCGAGTTTTTCAACATTGGGACCATGTTTCGAAAAACATGTGGGTAAGTAAACTCAAAAGACTTTTCCCCTTTCTTCATTAAGAAAAGTTGTCATTATGGCTCATGTATTCTAAAAAAAATTTGGCTTAAAGTAGAACGGTATTGAAAATCAATCAAATGAAACTTTAACTCTGCAAAATACCAAGATTGTTTCAGTTTTGTGCCAGATATTCGTGATCTACACACATTCCATGTGATTTGGTTAGAGTTATATAATACACTTCTAAAATCCGGAGTTAGTCGAAGTACAATAGCCGTCAAATATTTTTAACAAAAGTTAATGAAAGCTCAGGAAATGACTAATTTTCTGAGCTTTTATTAACTTTTGTTGCGGAAACATTTTACACACCTTGAAGGTGTGTAAAATGTTCCCGACATTACTTTAGCATGGTCCTGATAGAAAAAATCGAGTCTGATTTAAGGAAATTCTTTAGTACAGGTTTATTCATCCATGTTGTTTTACAGGACTGAAATAAATAAGTAAAGCCAAGAACCTTTTCACACTTTTTTCTCATTCACTATAGTATAGTAGAATCAAAGTACTCCAACTTCAATGATTACACTTTATACAGGGAGAGGTGGATTACAATTGCTCCCATATTTAAATGAAATTAATTTCTTTCTATTAAGATCAAGTGAATCGCAGGTGAACGTTACTTGTTTTATTAGTTACTTGAATGAGTCAGACGTATAGGATATTTGAGGAGCACTTGTTTTTGATATGTCAGACGCTGTATCTTCTTGATTCATATCTTGCATTGTTCGACTAATTACTTCCATCGCTAAACGTTTTTCTAACAAACACAATAAATAAATAAAAAAGTAAAGATATAGTTCCATGTGTGACTTTAACATCTATACCTGTATTATTTGCATTGACAAGCCAGTTTTGAGCATCTGTCAGATTGTCTGTTTGTAAAACGTGGCATAATAATGGTAATAGCTACAATAATAAATTAATTTAAAAAAAACAATAGATGTTTGATTATGAGAGACTTTTGTCGCTCTAGTCGCAAGTTCATGAGAGAGAATAAGTCAAATAGTGAAAGCGAAAAGGTGTTACCCAAATTCCGGCGTCAGGATTATGTTCTTGAACGTTTTCATCTTTTTTTTCACCATCAGTACTTGTTCCAACTTGTGTCAAACTATTACGCTTTTGTTGAATACTGTTTCGTCTTACTAACAAACGTTGTTTGTGTAATTTGTGTTCGTCATCGGTGCTATTATAACAGGACGTGGTACTATGACTTTTTTGTCTATTATTCAGTATTCTTTTGGATATTTTGCTTTCATCTGAATCATAACTTGTTTGTACCTGTTGAGCAAGTTGCATTAATTCTTTTCTCCACGTATCTGCTGTATTATCTATGTGAAAACATTTTTTCTTGTACTTTTGACAGATCTGACATGATATAATGGATATAGCAGAAAAATAGTTTCCTACTCTCATATTCTTTTTTTCTCTTGTTGAAACTGTGTTACTAACTTTTATTTTATCAGCAAAAGAGATGTAGACTTTATAATTCCAAATAAAACTGCGTATTCGGTTTCTTTTTTAATAAAAATCATATCTTTGGAGTTGCACTCAAAACATGGTAGTGCTTCAGTTTACAAAACTGTGCCATTCAAATTATCTTTTTTTGTGGAGTAATAAAATGTAAATGTAGAGAATTATTTCTATGATACTCGTTAGTATATGTTATAGGTTCCACATATGTAATAAGGAAATTTAGCTAACCAAATCAAAACTTACAAAGACATAAATTTTCTTTGGATACAGTATTTCGTCTTAAGCAATTTTTTCTTCTTCCATTGTCCCTATTCGTTACCTCTTCTTCAACATATGGAATGTACGAATCTTTAATATCTATGTGAAGAAAAATAGATAGTTTATGACGGAGTTCCTTTAAAAAACAAACAGGATAAAAGAGTGTGAGATTTGTTTATACCGTGTATGTATTTTAACCGTCGTGGACATGCTACATGACGTGCCGGTCGAACAGAAAGCATGCTGGCACTTCGTTGAACACAACGTTGTGATCCATGTAAATTATTTAAATAAGCTGAATTGAGATTAGAATTGTCAACTAAAAAAATAATAGAAATAAGATAAATATTATATAGATTAGCCTTGTTTTACATTTACGCGTCATATGTAGTTGTTACATTCGGACAAGACAAGACGATGTAATATAGAAGTATACACGATTGTCAGAAAACAATTTACTTTTATATTCTGTTTAAAATGAAAAATTTTTGTTTATTAAACATTAATTGAGTGAAGCAATTTGTGGCTCTTCAATTATTTCGTCTCCTATACAACAATAATATATTATGAATACAAAAATGAAAGAAACTTTTTGTCAACGAAAGATACTTCTTTGTATACTTTGTCCAATATTCTTTTTCTAACACTAGAAACAAAATACAATCAAAAATTTTAATCGTATTTTTTTGTTTGATTCATTTTGTTTTGACTAATGCACTTTTACTGATTTAAAAAATTGAATTTAAAAGAAACAAGCTTATGATTATTGCTGAAATATGTGAACATTGATTTTTGTTTACTAAGCTGTTTTAGACTTAGCGGACAACTGGATGCTCATCAGCACAAAGAAGAACTGCAATCATTTGGATATTGAGTTTACTATATCTTTCTTGCGGTTTATGTGACTATTATGTATCGACTCATGAATGATATTATATTTTATTAATTTTTACAAGATTTTTCAATAAATCCTTAAAATACGAAACTTGAAATTAGTCTAATTTCAAAGAGAACGAATATGTTATTGTGGTGACGTTCCTTGTGACTAAAATCTTCATCAGAAAATGTAAAAATTCAAGAAATTTGAAGAAATCAAGATCCTGAAACTTCCCATGTGAATATTTGTGTTTGAAAGCCT